GCTGCTGAAACCTTTCTCTTGTTCATCATCCTGGTGCTGTACCTAGGTGCATTCACATAGCATTGTCCATGCCCTGTGACCAGTGTGGACTTCTGTAGAGCTTACAGGCTAAGGAGGGTAACTGAGCATATTTTGAGAACACTTGGTGTTGGCTGCAAATAATGTAGACTCACAACCTGCCTTCTGCAGTGGGATTACTCTGCTTCAGGCCTCAATATATGAGATAATCTGCCTGTATTGACCCTACCCCAGGCCCAATCATCTTCACAGGCACAATTAAGAGCTATTCATAAATCTCCATAACTGTCATATTTTCTAAATACTTGGTTGGCCCAAATTCATGTCATGGAGTAGCATCTTCAGATATAGTACACAGCCCATAGTTTAGCAAAGCATTTAAGCATATTTGCCTTTTAGGATGTTCTTAAGGATATTCATACTCAGGAAAATATACAAGGATATATTTAAATCCCATCAATTTCAATGAGATTAAAACATGCTGAAAATTAAGGATGTGCTTAAATAGTTTAATTCAAGTGTTACATAAATAGCTTGTGTGATAAAGAAAAAAAGAAACTGAAATGTAGGCTTTTTTGTCATCACAACTTTGAAACAGATACATATATTTTAAAAATATGTTTTTATTATTTTATACACTAAGTTATACTGAGCTTTATATATTTTTTGGAATTTAATTTAAAACTAATTTAATGTAGTTAAAATTTAAACCTATTTTTGTAGCTAATTTTGAATAATTCAAAAGAACTGACTCATTCCAGTGCAGTGGCCCAAAAATGCAAATTTGTATTAAAATTGCTATATGTTAATCATCAGATTATATCTGTTATTCTGAAACAGTTGTGATACAAACACTTATCATAATTTTATGTAAAGATATTATATTTTAAGCAACACAAATAAAATCATAATTTTTCAAGCATATCAGACATTATGTCTGGTGCTAATGTCTTGGGTAAACATTATGATAATATTGTTGATTCTCTGAAGTTTAATGTAAATTTTGCAATATAAGGCATTTTAAAAAATTTGTCTTCTTGAAGTCTTGTGATTACCTAAGTCTGAAAGAAATAGGTATTTTATGAAGACAGGTACTATATGAAGAAAATAACTTGTCTAAAATACATTTTTAAATATCCTGATAGTTGAAAAGTAAATTTGGTTTCTGTAGTCTAAGGACTGTAGGATGGTTTAGGCTACTGGCATTACTGCATGTTTTCGTATTTCATCTGATTCATAAATTTAGTTTCCTTCCTTAGAGTCAATGTCTTTTATATTCCTGAATTTCAGCTACTCTGAACACCTAATGTGGAGTCCTTGAAATTAATTAACTGAAAGACTCAGGGAAACTGTGATCTATTACTGCTAATCTTCTCTGCATTTGTCACATAGTGGTATCTTCATTAACACTGTAAATGATAGACCTGGTCATTGGTCTTCAAAAGTGTTGGCTAACAACTTCATTTTTTGTGTCTGCAGATTGCTACTGGGATTAAAACAAGGATCCTTGAGGGTTGTTAGTTTTTATGATGTGAGTTGGAAAAGCGACAGCACCATTTTACTGTGAATGGTGGAGATTTTAAAGACCTAATTTGCACACTGCATATTGTATGTGAAACACTGGATAAGATTAACCTTACCAACTTTAAATGCTTACACAGTACATGCAGAACTGGAACTACATCAGAATTAGCTGCCTACACCACTTTAAGGAGTTAAAAAGGAGAAATAGGAGCTTATTCCATTTCATTATGATAGTGATCTAATGTCAGATTATTCATACTAGATAAACCTGTTTCATGACAATGAATGTAAAGGGACAGTACACATCTAGGTCACAATTAAATGCCAAATAATTAAAAGAAGTGCAGCCTCCCCAGTCTCATCATATTGTTTATTATTTTTGTAAGATGACTGTGTGCCACATTAAGGCCCACATAAACATTTAGTTGTTGAAAGCTAAGTAATGACAATAGCTGTGCGTTATAATCATCAGCATTTGCGCTTTGCCCAGTTAATGTACACCATATAATTATGGATTTAAATGACTAACACTATGACAATGGTGCGAACAATTCATTATTTTGTTGCCAGTGAAATCTGTTTTGACAAAGGCTATTAAAGCACCAGCTCCTCTAACAGCATTTCAATCAAGGCTGCACCACTACCAAGTACAGACAGATTCTGAATCTTTCTGGTATTATACAATAGGGCAAGATTAAGTCCGATGGTAAGAGACTCTTCCTGTTCTAGAACATATTATTAGAACCTTGTGAATAAAATCTATGCTTGGCACAAACTGTATGAAGGTGGTAAACACATCTGAGAAAAATCATGCAGGAGGTGATTTCAACTTCAGAAGCTCATGGCTTCTCAGATTTTAAACATAAATGAGTTGTGACCTTTTGCATTAAGCAGCAAAAGAATAGCATTCTGAGTCAGGAGAATAAATATTTAATTGGACCTGACTGTTAGTGCCTTTGGAAACACCTGTTACATGTGCTTAATAGTATTTCATCCCCAGACAGCATTTCTTCTGTGAGGTTCATATCGAGGGCTATAGAGTCCCACATGGACTAATTCAGCAGGCACCTGGACAGATGAGGGACAATTGACCAAGATTTCCTGGTAGTTTTTCATAGTGTTAAATAGAAACCAGGAAAATAAACATCACCACCACCCCCTCCAACCTTCTGTACAGTTGTATCTTTTGCTGTACACTACACCACTTTATGCACTGTTTCCCCTGGGACATGATGTAAAAATCAACTACACAGTTTAGGTGAAAACTTAGATGCTCTGTGCAGTGTCTGAAGGTCTCCAGCTACCAGAATGACCAACAGTGCATATGGGTCTCAAAGGAACACGGGATAAAACTGGTATGTGTCCACTCTCAGTAACATGGACAGGGCTGGCTGGCATTGGGGTATGGTGTAAAGAGCAGGAGAGGAGGGCAGACTTTCATGTGGCACAGAAAGGATCTATCCCACTGGTTGGCACAAAACTGTCTGTTAATCCTTTAATGTGGTTGGGAATTAGAAGCTGTAAAATGTTTCTCAAATAGACCGTCTCATTAACTTGCTAATTCAGTTGCAAATTCTGTCCCAGTCCTGGCTGCATACAAAAAGCCCTGCTTGAAGCACAGCCAACTGCTCAGAGTACTTGTGCTTATGATTTGGGGATCCACCAGAGAAGATGAACATCCTCTTATAGCACAGCTTTGCCGAAAAGTCTCTGGCTGACTGATTTTTCTGCTTTCTCTGTGTGGAATAGGCCAAGGAACCTGATGTTCTGTAAATAATCTAGCAAGAACTCAAGTTGCAGGGAGGATGCTCTTAATGGATTCCCTTCCCCATGGAAATCTTAAGCAGCAAACTTTTATAAGTTAACAGGAAGAATGATTTCCTTTAAAGCTACACCTGTAAAAGTACATTCAACATGCTTGGAGTAGCTCTTGGCCTTGAGACCAGCTGGCACAGGACAGTTTGTGTTACTACCATGAAAGTTATTTAACCTCTAACCCAAGATGTCTACAGTCAACCTGCTCATAGGGAATGGTCTCTCCCCCATGCTAGTGTCCAGCTGGGTTCCAAAATTGTTTTGGACAGAAATTATGAGCCAAAAGTATAGCAGGGACCACTGTTGCAATTTAACAGTTGGTCAAGGAAGTTCCAGCGCCCAAGGACATTCCCTGGTATTGGGATAGACTGGGATATACTGGGACACATATAGCCTAAGGGAGCCTTCAGACACTACAGCAACAGCATACTGGGAAACAGCATACTTCTGTTAGTTCATTCAATAAAAAAGTGGGTCCAAGAGCTTTGCTGTGGCTCATGCACAGATCTCAATTCCAGAATCACAATTAGACTGCATCCTTCCTAAACGGATAGTTGTGCAGGAGCTTTTAAACTTAGCCATCAAACCTTTTAAGAGCCTTCACCTCATCTTTTTCCATTACAAAAAATGAAGTGTTGACCATGTGTTGTGGGATGTCCTCTTCATGCAGGTGATTTACATGATTTTGCAGGTTTCTTATGCCTGTGAGTTTTGTTGCTTTCAGTTGCGTTAACAGCAGCAGGTCACACTCCTGTGCTGGCATGAACCTCTGTGTGAGCTTCCTAACAGCAATTTGTATTTCAGTCTAGTGCTAGGGCAGTTTGAGTTTGATAAGGTAAATTTTTCAAGATAAATAACAGGAAAAAATACCCCAAACTCAAAACTAAAGTGTAATTTCAAGTTTCCTCTATAATTTTCAGATAGGTGACAGGCCACTGAAACTCTGCTATTAAAACTGTATCTGGGCAAAGGAATTTTCTCACAATCTGTAAAATTTCTCAGATGTTTTAAAAAAACCTATGGGTGTAAAACAGTGCAGAGCCATTGACATCCATCTGATGACTATTATGGTTACAAGTCAGACAGAGTCTCCTCCATTTTGATAAAATAAACCTGAAATAACCTTGACTTTTAAAATCCTGAGAGTTGAGCTGCTTCCAAGCCTCTACAGTGGACATACATACTTGGTGATCATTCAGCTTTTCCACTCTTTAAAGACATACAGGGGTTTGTGAGGCTGGCCTAACCTTCCCATTCGCCTGTGGAGGGGAAATCAACAAACCTCTGGGGCACCCTTTCCCACACCTACAGTACACAGTTTATTTCATGTTGAGGAGTCCCTTGTACTGATGCTAGTGGAGATGACTTTGATAAAATTTATCAGCTATACTTAGCTGAGAGAAGGGAACAGAAATGGGGCTGCTAGAAATATCACTAGGTTTTTGCCACATGTGGCCCTAACCATCACTGGAATTGTGAAGACTGAAACTGTGGATGCAAAACTGGTACGCAAAAATTTTTTATAGGGAGGTTGAGGTATGTTATGAGTTCATTGGTAGAGATGTTTTCACCTGAATAGTTTCAGGATTTTTTTCTATTCCATCACTGAAATGAAAAGTTTCTCTAAGAATTATGATCTATTCTCAGTGCAGATACTAGCAACTGCAGTCATCAGCAAGCACAGCTCTGAGTTTTGCTACTTTTGGTAACACTAGATACTGCAAGTATTTATTTGTGTTTGTCGGGGCTATTTTCCTTAAATAGTACAATTTTATGTGTCAGCAGAATTGTTAACTGTTATGCTATTCTGAAGAATCCTTCTCCAGATCACTGTATAACATAATGCTCTTAGTTGCTGAACTTACCAGGTTTGCTCTTACATTTTATCATTGATGTTCATCTTACAAGTCTGTCAATTCTGAATTGCCTAATTGTGTACTTGTCTGTAATGATTTGTTCTATAGGTTTAATATATGACAGTGGATTCTCCATTTCTCAAACTAGACCAAGAGTCCTATCTTTTTTAAAAGATCTGTCCACCATTCTATGAAAATGAATAAATGAGTGATATTCTTCCCAGCTAAGTTTTACAATGTATAAGGAATAGGTGGTCTCTAACATTATTTTTAAGGGATGTGTAAACTATGGATGTTCTAATGTTACAAGGTACTAGTTGAATAAATAGTATAATTTGCAGGAAACTATTTGATTTTCTATTGAAAATAAATGAAAGCACAGAGATCTGAAAGAATTCAGTTTCATTTCTGTGACCCCAAGGTTAAATAAAATGCACATATACTTCCTATTTTATGACTAATACTACAAAAAATTAAATCCTGCTTCAAAAATTGGTATGCTTACCCCATAAACAAGTTCTCCCACCATCCCATTCCAGATTTTTGTCTCTGGATCCCTTGCTCCATATTTTCCATCAGGAACAATGGCAATTTTGTACTTGATACCAATATGTTTTGCAATTTCTGACGCCAGATCTACACAGTATCCTTCAAACTTGTCATTCCCTTCAAACGTATCATGGTTTTTCTTGAACATAACATATGGGGCTTCCTATAATGAAAGAAGTAGAACTGTAAAGGAGAAGTATACAGAAGATACTTTGAAAAGTAACATGTCATCTAATGACTGAACAAGACACATTTTATCAAAAGTTCATGGATAGCATTAGCACATTGAAATTAAAATGTATGAACAGAAATCCTTCTGGAAACGTATAGCATTTACACTGTAATTTGGCTTATAGATTTCACATTTATCAACCTTACAAATTATAAATACAAAAACTATCCAAGAATGCATATAAATTTTACATTATTTTAAATTAAAGACTTAGTGCAGTATATACTACATTTAAAGGGTGAATAGAAGTTGAACCTACACAATGCAAATGACTGGGGGATAACGCAAGGTATATTATGCTTTTGACTTCAGTAAGTAAGCATATCTTCTAACATAGTGTTACTGTCTGTGTAATTTCAGATGCACAGCCTGAATTATTTGCTTTCTTGGGGTTTAGAATGCATAATTACTAAGAGGCTACATACATTTTAGTGAGAACATAGAAATAATTTCCTGAGGAAACACATATCTTCCCCTTCAAATAAACAGTGCAGATTCTGCAAGGTTTTTCGGGATGAATCTAAGCAATATGCATGGACAAGAATAATATTAAGGTGACATCGACTTTACATGCTACATGAAAAAGAAGTATCAAAATCTTTTTGATTGGCGAGTGCTGTTGAAATCAAGCAAAACCTGTCTCGAAAAGTGGATCTTACATTCTCTGTGTAAACCATACTATGCCAACAGTGAACATTATGTGATTGAGAAATCAAGGTCACATTGGGAAAACACGGTCACATTTTTCTTTTTTGCTCTGTGTGGATTCAGAATTTAGCAATCATTATGTAAAACTATATTTTCTGGTGGTATTTTAAATTACTTCACATAATTCATGTTCATAGCCAGTTCCAGATAAAATATTTGTCACTAATTTCACCCTTTGTTTGAACTTACATCACAAAACACCGGCAACTTAAGTTTTCCCTGGGCTGACCCTGGTGAATGTTGGTTTTTTGATACTAACTTTGGTAGTACTCTGCCCTATTCACATCTTTCATACACAAATAATTAGTATAAAAATAAAAATAGAGGTAAACATGTAGTCTGAGAATGTCTGGTTCATTGAAACTACACTAACATCAGCTGTCACAAACAGCAATCTTGAAACCTCTACTAGGTGTTTAACAGTGGAGGATATGTGGCATTACTCGAGCTGTAGGGTGACTGAATAAACCAATTACAATATCTTTCAGTGTGTGAGGTAAATTTTTTGTTTCAGATACCAATATGTAACTCCTGTTACCAGCGTGTGGATCCACCCAAGAAAGAACTTGATAGGCAAGCCTGAACACTCTCTTTAATTTACTATTATAAGGTGAAAAGAGGGAGACTATATGTGGGAGGCACTATTCCCTTTACTTATATAAGTTTCTCCCTGTGGTAACTGCCCAGGACCCACCTCTGTATAAGGATGGCAGAACAAAGCTTTGTGTAAAGTGAATGGAAAAAGTTGTGTAGTTTGTTTACTTCAATGTGAGGAAAAGGTCCCAGATTAAATTCAACACAGTTTGGGAATAGGGAAGTGCTAGTGTTTCCTTAAAGACAGAGTCAGGTTTCTAAGTATTGCAGGAATGTTTCACTCTCAGGTGTGTTCCCAGAACACCTCTCCTCCCATCATCTTCTTCTTATGTTTTTCTCTGCTATGGACATGCCTCTTAGGGCCACCATCCCTTAGCGGCAGTTCAGTGTTGGAGGCCATTGATGCATTACGGCCACTACTTCAGCTAAGGATCCACGCAGCACAGAAAACTGTCCACAATGATCACTTCCAAAGTCAAACTCTGTCTGACTACCTGGTTCCTTAAACTATATATAAGTATAAATGTCCAGAGAAATCTGACAGTGGCAACAGCACATTGTTACATTTCTTGAGCACATATTTATGACCACTGCAGAGCCAAGGATCACCAAGGACTTCTAAAACTGTGGCAATCACAAAATAAGCTGTCATCATCCTGATATGCGTGGCCTGGGCACTGAGCTACAGCATTAACTACATGCTATAATCACTGCAGTGATGCAGTGCAATGCTTTTGACTGTACAGAGTTACTGTTTTCAGTGGAAAACTGCTGAGTATTACCAGCAGCCTGGACCATTTTTTGTATTCCTATCCCCAGTTAAATCAGCTTTATGTCAACCACCTGTCTTCCAGAGGCAGAGAGGGAGAAGAGCAGGGAGAAGGGGTCCTGCCCTCTCTTTGCAGTAGATCTTGAAAAGTATTTTGGGCATGTGAAGCAAATGTTCGTCCCTCATGTAGGCTTTTTGTTCTCACGAGAGGAAAAGCCAAAATCTCGGTCTTTCTATGTATGTTATTTCACAAACATAGTTAAAAATAATCAGAGGCAAAAAATACAAACTCTCCTGACTGAGGTTTAGCCAGCAACTAGCTAGAAATATAACCAAGTCCTGTCCAGTGTCCTGCATTTGTGGACTCTCCTTACAAACTTCAGTTACATTTGCTTGCTGCTTCTCAAAAGCAATTTTTTCAAAGACCAGAGTTAGTGACTGCTAGCTCTTCTGATTCAGCCCTTTCTTATAAATCCCAAGCCAAAGGCATATTAAAGTCACACCAGGAGAGAATTCTGGAGAGGGACACAAACCAGAGAGGCACAGAGGAGGCCAGGTCAGCCTGCTCCTTCTCCAAAACCCAGACACTGTGCTTCTGCCTGCATTTCACCACTGAAAGGGCTGCTGCAAAAAAACATTTTAACTGTCTCTGCACAGCAAAGCAAAGTGACAGATGCCTTATTTTTCCTGATAAAGGCTAAATAAACTTCACCCCTCCTCCCCATAAGTTCTGTGAGAGAACGTTGAGAAGGGAAGCAGTGGGGTCCAATACTGTTCCCGGTGGGTGCAAGCAGGGGCAATCCCATTGAGTGGAGGGACCATCAAGTGAGGACTCAGAAGACGTGGGTTCTGGCAGGGACCTGTTGGGTGACTTGGAAGAACCACATTGATTCTCTCCCCATCCATTTCTCTTTCTACACACTCTGATCTTACTGATTTAGAGCAAAATACAGCAAGGAACATCTCTTATAATGCAATTCTCTTACAGGCTATGGTAGCACTTTTTGCTGCAACTGCTTTAAAAGAAGCAGCAGTTGAGTGAGATCTGCCAGTGTGAAACAATACAATTAAAATTAATGGGAATACCTACTACCTTGAGCTTACTATGTTGTGCTTTCCCTCCTAACTGTTTTACACAGAATAGATAACAGTTTCTTTAACTGCTGTGCCTGCTTTACCTGACAAATAATAAGATATGTATTTTCAAGGTAGAATTTGATGGGGACGTGGTGGGACTGAATGTGGCTTTTTGATAAAGACTGTTTGCAAAAAAAATCAAATAGTAGCACTAGTTTTAAATTCTGTCCATTTCAGACTTTGGAGGTATTTCAAACTAATGAGGTGTGTAGATGTTACTATAATAACATCAGGGCACTGAAAAGCAAGTTTTACTGGTTTGCTAATGAGCAACTTACACAGATGAACTTGCAAGGTCACACTGCAAAGTCGTGAAATATCTGAACTGATCAATAGCATGTACTCAGCCATATCTTGATGCTCTATCTGTGGCACTGAAAAAGAGGATTTTTTTCTGTGTAATCTATTAGAATAGCCTTTTCTAAATTAGTAGTTAGTGTAACCATGACAGTCTAAAGATATGAGAAATGCAAGATATCTATGAAGAAGTAATATCTTCTATTAGATCAGATAGAATACCTAAAAACAGTAGGCATACTTTTTCACCATTTCCAGTTATAGCATCTTGTCTAATAAAAATATTACTTCTCCCCACCATCTTTGTATCTACTACATTTTTGAACTATGAACTCTTAACCTACTGGTGTAAAACACAGGTTTGGCTTACTGCTGAATGAGGTTTAACACCACAATATTTGCAAGATTTCAGCTCCTTAATAGTATTCTATGGGGTAGTGAATCAAGGAAAAGTCCACGTTGAAATGACCAATGACTAGCACGGAACAGATGTTTGAAATGGTGCAAGCTTTACTTATATAATTCACAATTTTATAACAATACTTAACATTTGTAAATACAAGTTGATGTCTGCAACAATCACCTTTATAGATGTAAACAAATCATTCCACCACATTGCCACAAATTCGTGTATACAGTAAAATGCTCACAACTGATGATTCATACTATAAAGGAAGCTGGACAAAGTAACTAACCCAAATACAAAACAGAACTATGTTTGTCTTTCCTATTCTACAGTTAATTTCAAAATCTTTAAACATTCTAAAAGTAATTTGTAAAAGTGACAAATATCTGTGCAAGGAAATGTCTCATTTTTAGAACAGGAGTGGCACACATTATCACACTTTATTCTGAAATAAACTTCTATAGATGTCAATGGAAGGTTTTTTTGGTTTTTTTTTTTTGCTTTTTTTTTTTTTTTTCTGAATAAAGTGTCCAGGATTCGGTTTGAAGTCTTTATTATTGTCATGCAACAAACTTCAGTGTTTTCTCTAGTCTACTAAAGAATTTAATCAATAAAATTTATAATGAAAAAAATATTTTTCTATTATGAGAAAGAAGGTTTTAGTTAGAATTTTTGAGGTAAGACTCTATCAAGACTACATCCATCAAAACAATGAGGGTGGTTCTGAGTCACCTAGTGAAGGTTATCGGTCATCTGAGATGCCCTGTGGTAACCTTCTTGACCTTTAAGTGCCATTCTGCAGGTCCTTTGTGCTGCCCCTTTATGGATAGGTCTGATATCCTCAGTGTTAAGCATCTACCTATGAGCCATTGAATCAATTTATAAATCTTTGTGGACTTTGATGAAAACTTACATACTTCAGGCAGAACTTATCCCATGTTTGACACAACATACACTAGCTGGGACATCCAGATGGAGCGATTATATATGGCATAAAACAGTCAAGTGTCATCCTGCCAGTGTAAGAAATGGGGGGTAGGCAGTATATCCTACAGCATCTTAAATGTCACCGAGTGCTTATAAGTGGGCAACTGAATCAATACCTTTTGTAAAGTCATCTACATTTAGTGACTCAGTCATGAACTGGATCCTGCCCTTGAAGCTTAATCTGACAACACCGAGACTATTTCATTAAAATATTGACCTGGAAGCCACAGTGCAGATGTAGCTCATGCTTTGGTTCTAAAGGATTTTTGTGATTTTTAAGTTTTGCAGTCTCAGAGGAAGTACAGAGTTGGCTGTATCATGAAATGGATTAGTGAGTTTGGAGTAGTCTTCCTAGCCTACTTCCCTATATTCTGCTTCAGCAACTTGTCATTGTATTTCTCAAATTGCTAAATTAAAGATGATAATTATTCCTAGCTGGATAAGTCACTCACTTTACCTTAGCATTAGAGGAGGGCTGCAACAGAGCGTCCCTTCCCCAGTCATACAATGAGCCTACTGTGCACTTGGAGGTCCTAAGGCCCCCTGGAAGGAATGCTTCTGCACACAGGTAGAAAATTTACTGTCCTTTCCAGAGGGCCAGATGTGCAGCAGTCTAGGTATCACATGAGGTGCAGGACACAGGACTCTCCCAGGATCTATAAAAAGCAGGACTGCATGGCAGCTAGTAGAGAAAAGTGCATCAGCTGCCCCTGCTGCCACCTCTCTCTGGGCTGCTCCTTCACACATGACTAATCGGAGGTGGGCTGAGTGCCTACGCACTAAAATAAAACTGTAAAATAAATTCTACATGCTCTCACTACGTTACAAATGAACATAACAATTTGCCAAGTAGAAGACACTGTACTAAGTTCTTTGAGTGGAGAGATAATTTGTTATAATGCACCTTCTATGCAATAGCCATTCAGCCGCATTACAGCAAAGTAAGCATAGACACATAAAAACTGAAGACAGCGGGCAAATCAACTTGTGCTATTTGGCTTCAGGCAAAAATTAAAGCGAGCCATGCTGAAAACTAGTAAATTTTTATTATGCTGACAAGGTAGCTGTCTTTGAAGACTGAAAAGCCCGACAGCACTGGTTGCAGAAGCTTTTCAGTTTAGTGTTGGAAAATATGCATGCAAACAAAAGTATATGTGTCATCTACAATGGTTCTATCTCCCTTCAATGTGAAAAGGGCAACAAAGAGGTGAAAAAGTCTCTGTCCAGCATTTGCAACATGACTATAACACAGAGAAGAGCAAAATAACAGGATTCTGGAAGTTATTCTAATTAAATATATATTTTCTTTGCATGTGTGATCATATGCTTGTGGGTGCTAAATACATTGCCCTGGCAGGCCAATATTAAGAATCATGGTTGTAATCTGCCTTCAGCATCATGTGTGTAGCTCCCAGTGGAGTCAATGGGAGATGGGCATGATAAGGCAGAATTCACCATATATTCTTATTCAAGCCAAATTCTGATATATTTCTCTCGCACTGTGATTTTGAAACATTGAAAGGGGACACTTTTGGTCAAGAAGCAGTGCTGCTTTCAAATAATGGCATGTATCCCAAAATGACATGCTGCATAAACATAGGGCATGCTTTGGAATATTAATTCAGCTTTTTGGTTTTGCAAATGATCCCACCAGTCCTTTCAATACAGGGACTGGAAAAGTTCTTTTTAAGATAACATTTACTATGCACATCAAAATGCTTCAATGCAAACAGGACAGGCAAGGTAACACATTTTAAAAGCTTTCTTGTTTTCCTTTTTTTTCTTTTCTGGCAAACAGGAACCTTTTATATTACTTTTCATTATTATTTTTTTTACTCGCTTCTCCTAAGCTTGGAGCTATTTATGGAGTTTACAGTATTCATGTATGGTAGCTTCAGTCAGAGATATCGGGATTGGTATGAGAGGAAAATTTCGACTGAAAGCTTGCTATTCACATCGTTCTCTTCTCAGCTTGGCAAAGTTGAAGGTTAACGTCATCTGTTCTAGACATTTCAGATTAGTCACAGAACTTTTCTTGGTGGTTCAGTGCCTGGTCATCCAGTAAGAGGAACAGTAATCCATACGGAAAAATTAGCTCAATGCTACTAGACTGGTGGTTAATACTTGAGCCTTAGTTAGGAATGTTCGCAGCATCTTGGGAATCTTTTCTTCCTTGATCAATTTCTTAAAATAGGATTCTTCATCAGAGGCTGAAAAGAGGAGGACTGTACTGAAGTATTTTTTTCCATCATCAAGTCTCTTTTTTTTTTTTTTTTTTTAAGGAAAAGACAAGTATATTTTAAATGTCCCATGCAAATAAAATAAAATAAAACAAGAAGTTACACAATTTGGTTAGGAGTTACATTCTGAATTCCTGTATAGTAGTTTGGTTGGTTTGCATCCTGAAATGATAATCTTCAACAGGAGATTTGTTAAGACATACTTAATGTACAAATGCCGGAAATCTGGTAACTAACTGCATTTTTGAGTAAGAAAATATCTTGACACTTTCCTTTGGTTTATTTTCAACTCTGTATTAAATGGAAAAAATATTGCTTAACAACGCATACAAATATTCCTTCCCCTTTGAGACACAGCTTATTCTAAAGGGTTAAAGTGTCTTTTCTAAATGAAGGAGGTGAAAAGAGCAGTGAACTGAGATGCAGTATCTTAAAAGCAGTCAGGTAAAGGTCACCCTTTGCCAGTTGGCTTTGGCAAACATCAGTTTAAAAGGGCACGTCTGACTTCAGAGGGAAAAATTGTTAAATATCTTATTTAAAAATACAGATTTTTAAGAAACAACGGTTTTGAAAAACTATGTATTAAAAATGTAAATGAATGAAGCAGCTGCATTCTCCTTTGCAAACATTATTTCAAAACTCCTGTAACACTAGAAAATCAAACCCCAAATCTATTTAGATTTTATTAAAACTGAAGTTTTATTGAAATGCTGAATAAACATATTAAGAAATATGTTCAAATGCATCTAAATTCACATTTTCATTCAAAATTAAAGTAGATAATCCAGTTCTGATTAGGGTGAAGAGTTCTGGACTACACTACTTAGAATTTTAGCTCTTGCTAATGTCAACTTTGAATTAATAATGTATCAACAAAAAGGGACACTGGCATTGCAGACATCTCATTTTATACCCTCTGTTCAGTTCTGTCATTTAGGGGTTTTGGGTTTTTCTTTTTTTCCAGTTTCTTGGGAATCAAGATTTATCAATTAGAGTTTGAAAGAATTCACTTATATTTCTGAGACTTACTTTAGTAAAAAAATGGAAAAGACTGAAAAAAGGAAAAAAATTACCACAATACAATTTTAAAAACCTGATTTCAAGTGAATCACTATGTTAAATGCATACCAAAAAAACCTCTGTACAGACATGAAAGTCAAGATAATTAAGACACGTATCGGTCTCACCCTCCCACTAACCTATGAACTGACAGACTAAATTAGACCATAACTAGAAATTAGATTGTGTTACACACCAGTATAAGCATTAAAAAAAGAAACACCTTACCAAAATTGTAGTAACAACTACTGTTCTATTCTCAATGGCTGAAGTGTCATTTCCAAGTGTAGGTTCATGTTGAATCAAAACTAATTTATCCATGTCATTCCAGTAACCAACCTGTAAAACAAAATGCATATAACTTACAGTAGAAAACCCTACATTCTCTATAACTACAAATATAAATTATTAAAAGAACAACAGAATGATCCAAAGATAATTTTGTACCAAAGGAAATGCTGTTACACTCATTGACAGGTGCACAGTGATTTGTATCTAGCATTTTGGGTGTTAGACCAACCATCTTGCACCACCGCTGCACAGAGTCAGACCTGGTGCTGCTGCCACTCAGCTATTCCTGAAGGATCTGAGTTACTTACTTCCACTGGAGGCAGAAGTTAAATCCCATTTTCAGTAGTTTGATGCCTTCCTAGGGCATAAACGAGATATAAGAATTTTCGCTCTCCATGAGAAAATTTTCATTCACTAATCCTCCAGGTCTTATGGTTTTAGATGGAGGAGTGATAGACATCTGGGTGACAGCTTTGCAATTCAATGGCTGATAGCAGTTCTGTGCTCCATCGTGGATCTCCCAGGAGACTCCAACCCAGGGACTTACATGAGGCTCATTCCACTTAACTGCTGGCACTGACCTTTAGTACTACATTAGAAACTCTGTTATTAAAGCTTTCTTTACACTCACTGGAGAGACAGGCACCACCAGACAGTGACTCAGCTCATGCAGGAGAAGCACCCCTCCTAGAAAAGCACTTGCTTTCCCCACTGGCTCTAAAGCATGGTGAGTGACTTCACTCTAAAAGTATCTCTGGCAAGTGCCTACAGGGAGGTGGAAAAAATCAGGTTTTCTTCTCCCTGGCTGCATTTAAGCTGCCACAACCCTTCCCAGAGCAGCCTTAAGGTGAACCAGCTGCCTTTGTTTGCTGCTGGTGATGAACTACTCTAGAGACAGGTGTGAATCACTCATTCTTGTATTCCCATGGAGCAAAAAAACCCGCCCTAAAAGCGGTATGCCTGCAGTCAGTCTCCTTTACATACAGATCTCACTTCTTGCAGTGCACACCTCTGGTGCTCAGTACAGCCTGAAGCTGTGCCATGTGCATTGGTAGAGATGCTTCTGGGCACAAGACATGAGCCAATTCCTCTCCTATGAGGGCCCAGGGATGCAGTGCTCGCTGTGAGACCAGATGGGATGAAGGCAGCCTGAGAATAAGAGACTCCCCTACAAAGCACTGATGCTTTTGGGAGCTGCTCAATGAACACTTAAAACTCCCTGCATGCCCCCGCCCCAAACCCTCACAGGCTACGTACTATGTCTTTGGATAGCAAAAAAGAAAATATGAGACTTAAAATACTTCACTGTTTTTGTAAATTGTGACCAGTCAGAATCTTTCAGCACACTCTCACGTTTCCTCACTCCATGTGGCAACATGGTGTTTAGTATCTGTATCAGTAAGTGGTATTTCTGGATTTAGAATTCCTCCCAATCACTTAATGTTGCCCTGAGTGACGTTAGGTAGGAAAGGTCTTCCTGGGAATGGGGTGTGCATGATGTTCCCAGTACAAGGCGGATGTGTATGAAATGGGAAGTGGTTCATGACAGTGGTCTGTGGTCTCACTCTTACTTGGAGATGTCTAATTCCACTTTCCCACCCATTCTTTCAGCATGCCAGACATGGGTCCCTTAGCTGAATCTGCTCTCACATCTAATCTATGGATCACTAGCAAACACCCTCCCTTTCCTCCTTCTTGCCATTCTCTTTTCTGCAACTAGATCATGGCTGTCTGTGGACCCTCTGACAAGGTTGCTGGGGAATGGCTCAGTGCCTGTTCCTCTGATCCAGCGCTGACAGCACTCAGCTCCATGTCAAATGGACAACGTGAAACACAAACACATCAGTAGGACAGTGCTCTAATCCCGCCTAAAGTGTCTCTCCATATTGCTGAAAATCTAATGAATTAAGAAACTGATCTTTTTTTCCCTGGAAAGGTGCAGACAGTGGCAGTGATTTTAAAGGTTCCTATCAAAGAGACGCAATTCAAGCTGGCACAGCTCACTTTTCAGAAGCAGCTGGGTACAAGTCAGCAGCAACTCTCCCTTCCCTCCTTCTTGGTTAATTAGGAGTCATGAGAACAAGAACTGGGAGGAAGAAACACCTTGTCCATCTTACAGAAGAGGAAAGGCAATTTTACTGGAAAGTGGGCCCCAGACAGAGCTCCAGTGTAACTGTCAGTGCCAAAGGACAGTCTGTGCCTTGGATGAAAAGACTTCAGTATGATGGAAACTGGCTAAATGATCAGATCAGTTATGCAGCCAATATTATTTTTAACATTATTGTAGAACCCAGACTAAAATTTACCATCATATAGGTTTCTACCTCCATGATGTGGAGAAACTTCATGTTCAGATCAATCCAGTCACATGATATGACAGTCTAGAAGTCCAGGGGAGTGCTTTTGGTTCCTGATCCAAAAAGAATCCTGTGTATTCTTAAAACTTCCTCTTGATTTTTACACTCACTATTTCATTAATTTCCTTTTTTAAAAAAATATGGAGGGATAAGTAATTTCAGCAGTTCCCAGAGCAGTGTGCAGACACACTCACCACAGAGAATTACAAATACATTAAGTAATTCAATATGAGTGGGTATGACTTGAATATGAGTGGGGTTTTTTTTATATTAGTGAAGCAAACAAGCATAAACTCTTCCCATACACAGCTTCTGGTATATTTAGTTGAAATCTTCCTTTTCTCTTTGCAGTTGCTATTACAACACAGGAGCCTTGATTTAGGTGTTTGCAGCTAACAGGAAGCTTCAGCATTGATAATATAGTGGAGAAGGAGGTTTTCTTCCTAGCAGGATGCACTGTTAACAAATATTCTTTTTCATCCAGACAACCAGAGAGTCACAGATACAACTGATAACTGAAAATGTCAAGCTCTTGTCAAAAACTGTGACCATCTAAAGGCAGAATATGTATACCAAAACTTTGCAGTTTGGGAAGCTCATTATCATACTGAATGATGGTTTTTCATTGTGAAATTCCTCACTGCTGGAAAGCTCAGAAGGAAAGCAGAAAATGAATGATGTACTGTGTTACAAAAGTAAGTACCACATGAAAATGCAGACAGAGATAAAGGAAGTTTTTGACGAATGGTAGGCATTTTTTTGAAGGATTTTTAGCTTGCGTGCATGGGTGTGAGTTTGCACTGTGTATATCAAACTTGTGCTAAAGTAACTCTGGTACTGGATTACTGAATCAGTACGTAAGATACGTCATGACACTTGTATAAATATATGGATTCATAGTCACTGTGAGAGCACTAAACAATATGTTTTCCTACAAATACCTCAAATCCCCAGGGAAAAATACTCCTCAAAGGATAGGATTGAATTCAGCTATTAAAGTACATCAAATTATATCTGGATTGCAATTGGACTTTATAGCAGTTGCATCCACTTATACAGAGGCTGAATTTGTATTTTAGGAAACAATATTGCAAAAATATCTGCCTCAAAGTAAATTTGTCACAACAGTTTGGTATTTGAATGGTCTCATTTCTGAAGGCCTGTGCACCTTGTAGCAACCACTGA